TTTGTTTTATTAATTTTATTCAGTTCATTTAATTAAGTTTAATGTAATTTAGTTTTAAGTTAATTAATTATTTTATTTTACTTTATTTCATATAATTGAATTGAATTAAAGTTATTTTATTTTGTTAAATTTTTTCATCCTGTTGTGTGTGTTGTATATTAAACATAACACATCTAAATAAAATAAAACATTAATGAACTTAAACTTATTTTCATTTTGATTTAATATTTTGCTTTAAATTTATAATTCAAAGTAATACATGTACTGTTTCAATATACTATATGTACATATGGATGTAAAACGAAAAATAATGTTGAATATTGCAATCCAGTGAAAACGAAATTCTTTCGGTCTTGTGATCTAAAATTAGGAAAAAGGAAGGAAAAGGAAAATTCCTAAAAATAAATAAATAAACAGGAGTGGCCATACCATTCTTATTTAATCTAAACAAGCTGCTCTGCGCTGCCAGGCTATCGATCCCTCTTCAGAATTAAAAAACGCAGACAGATTTTCTCGAACTTGAGATGCAGATTGTGGAAGCCTTCCAGCTTGAACGCTGCGCATTTCCGACGAAAAAAGGGAGTTGGCAGGGATGTGGTGGCGAAATTCGCCTCCTATCACTTCTCCGAATTCGCTGTAGCCATCGGCGTAATTCGAAGGACAATATTGAGCTCTACGAGTCCTTATGAGGAAATTGTGCAAATAGCAGCACGCAACTACTATTTTTTGTGCTTTTTTCGGGGAGCAAAACATTTTTCTGGAGAGGCAGTAGAACTTCGAGCACAATATTCCAAATGCATTTTCGATGCATCGCCGCGCTCTGCTAAGTCTATAATTAAAAATCTGATGCTCTTCTTCCAGCCTCCTGTTTCGCGATGGTACATATGGTTTCATAATCCGCACGTGCAATGGAAAAGCATCATCTGCAATAAAAACGTAAGGGCGTTCAACAGCTTCGGGAAAAGCGAGTGTTCCACTAAGCACCGCTTTTCCGAGGGTACATTTTTGAAATATGCCGGCATCTCCTTCGCTTCCGTATGCCCCGATGTCCAAGTAGGTAAACTTGTAGTCACCATCTGCTGCAGCCATTAGTACCAAGCTGAAGAATCCCTAATAATTATAAAAATACACCTTGTTTATACCTACACAAGAACTGCATTAACAAAAAATCGATTTGACCCGACACACATTTCTTCCAAGCATTTATACCTGTATCTTTATAGCGTATTCAAAAGCAAACAAATCCACATTTCAAACGTCGTACAAAAATTATGAAAACTCAACTAACTTTAACATTTGCACCCGAAAATTTTAAACATTTTATTCAGCATTTTTAAAAAAATATAGGGTATGCAGTTTTGTAGCTCATTAAATTTTAGTAGGTTAAAGTGCAAATTTCAAGACGCTAGAAAATTGCGTTGATTTTGAAAATTTTTTTTTGCTGATCATGCTAGGCCAAAAAATAGCCGAAACTAGTCAAAATGTTACTTGACTTAATCAGCTGACCACAAGTGTATGTCAGTATAAACAAGGTTATAGAAAAACTCTAAGTTTAAATAGAAGCTGAAAATGCTTCCCATTGCTCTAAATGTATACCTTATAATTATAAAAAAGGCTTCCAGAATTTCGTGGACACTTAATGGCAACATGCTTGCCATCGAGAGCACCTCCACAATTGGGAAAATTCCACTTGTTAAATGTGTATCCAATACGTTGTATTTCTGCAGGTGTTAGCGGTGGAATTTCGTTGCCTAAAGCAGAAATAATGGCGTCGCAAACTTCGGTTAAAATGATTCCAAAGTGTTGTTTGCTTATACGGTAAACAGACGCAACATGCCGTTGAAGTGTTCCACAAGCAAAGAACCTTATTAAATAAAATAAGATATAATAAATTAACATAGCAATTGTTAAGTTAAATTAAGGGCATGGACTTACTCCAACACGACAGCCAGCTTTTGCTTTGGTGAAATTTCATCGTTTGGCCTTGTTCGCTTTTTAGGTTGCAGTTGAGGATGAACCAGCTCATACAACTCGTTGAAACTACATACATCCATATGAAAATTCTCCTTGAACTGTTTTTCATTGGCCACTAGGTCATCAAACTGCAAATGATTGATTAGATTTCGGGAAAATTAATGTATACAATTAAATTACATATAATTGCGTCCTAGACCGCTTGACCAATCATAACATAAACCAGTCGAGAAGCGCTAGGTTACGCTTAAATCCAGCTGCGGTCAATAAGATAGCAACAAAATTCAAAGTTATATTTTTTGAAACTTATGTTTATTTATACCGCATAAAACAAAGTTTTAAAGCTGGCATAAGTTCACACAAATAAATCAAACTTAAAAAAAAACCATGAAAATGTCAAACGTCAAGAAAAANATAATAATAAAATAAACATAAGTTGCAAAAAATATAACTTTGAATTTTGTTACTATCTTATTGACCGCAGCTGTAAGTGACCAAGTGCGGCCGGACAGACAGACATGCTGATCATTTATATATATACACCTATATTTTTTTTACGCTTCTACGCATTTTCCTCCAGATAAAAAATTACCAAATAAATTTTAGCTTGCAAAATATTGTAGTGCAAAGTATTGTATTATATACTTACATCCTTTGCGAAGCGCCCCTTTTCTCCCCTTTCCCTCAAAAATTTGTTGACTTCTTTACGCGACTCTGCCTTCAAGGCCTCCGCAATCAAAAGCACCATTNAGTGCAAAGTATTGTATTATATACTTACATCCTTTGCGAAGCGCCCCTTTTCTCCCCTTT